GCAAACAAAAGCGAAAAAGAGGCGTAGCTCCATGGTCATGGCGAGGCGAACTCGCGGCCACAAGCTACACCAACGAGTTGGCACCCATCGTTCCACGATTGTTATCTCTAGGTCATCTCCCATAGGACTTGGTCATGGAGGGCTCAAAGCGTGCGGGTGATATCCGCATTGATGTTAGTATCGACATCGAATCCATCACGACCATGTTCTAGGGCCAAGACAGAGCTAACACTGTGGTACTATGAAGTCAACTAAAAGCGAGGGTCGAGTTACACTCGGCATCACGGCCATGGCAAGATGAATCCCATGATCGTAATGTCCAAACGAGGTATTTAACCCTCACCGGCTCAAAAGCACGGCACATTGGCGAAACACCAACAACCAGGGCACAACGTTAAGATCCAAAGACACAACCAAACAACTCGACAAGACAGCAGAGTAGCACATTTCCATAGCTCAAGAGAGGTAGATGGTTCCTGCAAGACGACGGAGGAACGAGAGTGTAAGGGCATGTATAATAAAGAGTGAAAATCAAGAGGGCTAATGCACTTGTGTAGAGCTCAATGGGTGGTGTCGAGGACGACGAGGTCGGCGGTAGGGCGTGACCGGGGCTTAGGTAGGTGCTGGAGCTTGACTCCGGCTCGGCGTGCAACTGCGGCCTGGTGACAAGCTATTCAAGGTCAGAGAGGGCGACGTCGTGGTCGAAACGCGGCTGTGCAGCATCTCCGTGTAGGTCCGTGAACCAGGTGTAGTGTGCGGTGGCAAGGCTACGACGGCGTGGCGACTAGGAAAGATGGGGCCTCGGGTCTGCGCGGGCGCGTGTCCAATTGTCCAAAAGAAGTCTTGGCCATATGTGCGATAGCGGGGTCAGAGAAGGCTCGTGCGAGCATGGAGGATGCAGCTGTGTGGTGCACGGCGCTGTCGTAGCGGCCTATGCTTTCGAGTTTTCATGGCTTGGAAACAGCAGCATGAAGGCCGGGTAAGCTGTGTAACAAGGCATCGGCTTATGGTCAGCATGCTTATAGGTTCAAATGCCCGAGAGTGCTTGGCTTGTGCTCAAGCGGAACTGTGTGCGCACGTGTGTGTGCAAGTGTCCAGGTGGTGCCATGCCAAAGATACGTGCAAGACGTGTTATGGCTTGTGTAGGTGCTTGGTGAGAGGCCAAAGGGGCTCGGCATGTCCACCTGGAGCCGTGCTCGTGCGCTGAGATGGCGGGCAGTCAAGAAGGGCATCTCCACGATCCGCGTGGCAGGTCGCGCGGTGGCGCGTGCAAGAGCTCACGACCAGCGGCGGCGGCGGCGGCAAACGACGAGGCGTCGGCGAGGGCGATTCTCGACAGTGCGTCCTCGCAACGTGAGGTGGCTGGAGAGGGCAGGGGCATCTCCGCCATGGGGGCGACATGGGAGCACGTGACTCCGGTGAGGCGGGGATGGGCGTTGGCTCCCGGGCTTGTCTCAGACATCCAGCCAGCGCACGGTACGTCTCACGTCGAGGCAAGGCTAGTCCAGGGGCTCGCGTTGCTTCTACTGTCTCAGGGCGGCCGGAACACAGCGACGACGGTCGACGGGGCATGGTCTTGACCATGACGGTCATGGCGGCGGGCATGGCTTTTATAGCTCTCGAGCTAGGGTTCGCGGAGGCCGGGGCATGCTACGGGCGGCGGTGATCATTGGGGTGCGGCCGGCCGGACGCGTGGCGCCCATCCGCGAAGCGGGGTAGGTGAGCAGAGCTTGGAAGCTTCTGGAGTGCTCCAGAACGGGCGCCGGGCTCGCCAGCTTGCGGTACGGTTCGAGGGCATCTGCGGCTTGCGATGCGGGTCCGTGTCCTGGTGGCGTCACGGCGGGTCTGTTCAGTCCAGGCGGGGTCTGCGGCTGTGCTCTCGTCACGCGAGGAAGGCTCCAGGGCGGGGTGCAAGGGGCATCCGAGGGCGACGCGGTGGCCTGCTTCCTTGCTCTGGACGCCAGCGGAAAAGAGCAAAAACAAAGGCAGAGCGGTTAAGGAAGACGACAACGCTGGACAGAAAAAGGTAGACGGAGGCTTCGGGTTCCTTCTCTAGTGCGACTGACGTGCGGGCCCAGGGGAAACAACGGCATGCAGCTCTCCACACGCGAGGGGCGGCGGCAGCTTGCGCTGCGTTGTGCGTGCAGCGCATGCGAGAGCAGGGGAAGGTGAGCTGGGCTGCTGTGGGTACCCAGGTTGGGCCACGACGGTGGACTGGGCTGCACACTTGCTGTTGGGGCATTAGTATACGTATGTGTACATGATCTTATATACATGTATACATTGCACGGTGGCTTGTGTAGTGCATTCCAGATGGCTTCCTAATTACGTGGTTCCTGTAGAAGCCACAGGCACACGACTACAGGAGCATGCAGCTTCTATACGTGCTCCACGTTGTTTGCCAAATAGGCGCAGGAGCATGCACGCTTGTGCAGCCCACTAGCCAAGGATTTACGAGAGATGATTTACCAAAAATTGACGCTAGGGTTCGTGAGGAGTGCGCCGGTGTTCGTGGCGTTGATGCAACAGCCGGTATGACCCGGCGATCACCCTGGGGCGTGGGCAGGTGAGCGAGCTAGGACGGTGCAAGACGGGGAGCGTCGGGGCTTGGTCACGTCGATCCGGGGCGTGGTCAAAGGGGAAACGTGGGCGGGGTCCGTGTCCAAAGGGTGTCAAATTAGGTCAAGTGGTATTTGGTCCGAGGATTAAGAGGTGTTTCCACATTGAGGGGAATTTAGAATAATCCCGAGAGGGATAAAAGGGGAGTTGCTACGGGTTATGCTCTCCAACAAGACGAGACTCAAACACGAGGCAACAAAAGAGCACCGACACACTTTTACAAACAGTTCTACATGAATGCAACGTTTCGTTAGCGGGTTTGACTCGTGTTTGACCTAGTGTCTACATGCTTCACACAATTTACAAGAAAAAATTTGAAAGCTCGTATTTTTTTGTTTTCCGGAAAATTTCGGGTTGTTACAGGGTGCACCAACTGCGCAAGGCGCTCTACAAGCTGCGGCAAGCCCCACGAGCATGGAACGCCAAGCTTGACACCACGCTGGGCGAGCTTGGGTTCACAAGGTGCCCAACCGAGCACGCGCTCTACACGCGGCGACAGTGGAAGGAGGAGCTCGTCGTCGGCGTGTATGTGGACGACTTGATCGTCACCGGCGCACGTGCGGAGGACATCGACCGCTTCAAACGTGAGATGGTAGCTTGTTTTCGAATGAGCGATCTCGGCCCGCTTTCCTACTACCTCGGCATTGAGGTGAGACAAGGGATGGAGGCACTCATGCTCGGTCAGAGCGTGTATGCCTTGAAGCTGTTGGAGCGGAGTGGCATGGCTGAGTGCAAGCCGTGCGTGACTCTGATGGAGGAGCGGCTGAAACTGTCGAAGGCCAGTACCGCGGCGAAGGTAGATGCAACACTCTACCGGAGCATCATCGGCGGTCTGCGCTTCCTAGTCCACTCGAGGCCGGACATTGCGTTCGCCGTGGGCTACGTTAGCCGCTTCATGGAGGATCCCAGAGAGGATCACTGGGCTGCAGTGAAGCGGCTACTGCGTTACATCAAGGAGACGGTGGATCAGGGGATCGTCTTCGCCAAGACCAGCGGAAGTAGGCTGCAGCTCACTGTGTTCAGCGATGCAAACATGGCGGGGGACATCGACGGAAGGCGGAGCATCTCTGGCTTGCTCGTCTTGCTCAGGTCGGCTACAATCTCATGACTGTCGCTGAAACAGAAGGTGGTGGCGCTATCTACGTGCGAGGCAGAGTACGTAGCGGCGGCCACAGTGGCGTGCCAAGCTGTGTGGCTACGTCGGCTACTAGGCGAGCTGACCGGTGTGGAAGCTCACCCACCAGCACTGATGGTGGACAATCAGTCCGCCATCGCCCTCGCGAAAAATCCGGTTCTCCACGACCGGAGCAAGCACATCGACGTCAAGTTTTATTTCCTCAGGGACTGTGTCGATGGAGGGCAGATCGTCATTGAGTTTGTCGAAACTGGTCGGCAACTCGCGGACGTCCTCACCAAACTGCTCGGCCGTCTTCGGTTCACGGAGCTGAAGGAGATGATCAGCATTGAAGGGGTTCATGGCTTAGCAACAGTATTAAGGGAAGAATTGTTAACTAATCTACTGCTCCCTTGTGTGAACGCACAGCAGGGGAAGGCGGCGCTGAAAAGGCTCCCTGCTATGACACTGTAGCCGTTGTAGGGGTAGGCGCCGAACGGCTCACCTGCCGTACTGTAGCCACAGCAGGAGCAGGCGTCAGAGTCAGCCCTACTGTCTAATCTAGTCACTGTAGCAGCATGACAGCTGTACTAGGACTAGATAGATAGAGTTGTATATATAGTTTGCCACTGTAACTCAGTAAAGAGAGCGAGTTCAGTTTGCTATCTCATCTGCAGAGCTCCGGCCAACGTCGGTGCTTGTGCTGTGTGTGAGTGCTCTGTTCTCCCTCACGTCTTCTACCTTTAGCCATAGCGTGTGGTCGGACAACGCTTGTTGTGGTCGGCAACGACAGTTCGTTGTCGTCATCGTTAGTGTGTGCTCGGCAACACTGGTGAGTGGTCGACTCACCCATGCCGGTGATTCCGTGGGCTAACAGGTGCCTCCTGGTAAAAAGCAACCAATCAATATTACTTACCTGAAGAAGCGGTAGCTGTTCCAAAAGCATGGTGGTCTAATCAGTGCCCCCCCCCCTTTCTTGAAATTAAAAAAAAAAACATGGTAGCCTTTGTCTGCAGCATTCATAAAATTATATGAATCTTTTTTTCAGATAATGAAGGGAGCATAGCATTACATGAGTAAAAGCATATGTTAGCAGAAAACTTACCATTGAAATACAATAGTAAAAGTCCGGATTCCTGTATGCATCCTCCAAAGATGTATTCACAGTCACGGCAAAAGAATGGAAACTGGAAAACAAACAACCTGTTGGAATTGGGAGTTTAACATTGAATGTAAAAGGAACAATAGAAACTGGACAGACCTTTTTTTATCCAGTGGAACGTACTGTTGCTCCATTCTGAGGGATCTCATCCAAAGTTTTCGAGTGTGCAAGCATGGGATCCCAGTTTAGACGAAAATCACCATCGCAGAAGAAATCTCTAACCAGTTCAGGAGTAGCATCCTCAAAAATAGTGTGGCTGCAGAGAATCAGTGAAGAGGGAGAAATAGCAACTTAAAGAGGCAAACCTTGCTTGATCAAGCGAGATGAGGAACTTCTGTGCTTCAGCTCAGCGAGATCAGGATTGTTCAGCTCGACGAGATCAGGATTGGAAACCTGCGAGAACATGATATCCCATTGGCACCTTTTTCAACCGAGATCTCTATCTCTAATAATATATAAATAACAAAAAAGTGAAGGAGTTTGTGTCAAACGTGGAGTTCATGTAGAACTTACCATGGATTTTTTTTCCTGGTGTGAGTTGGTGTCCCGATACAACCTGGTGTCTTAGTTTGATTGGATTCTTATTCCGACTCGCTACGCTGGACCTGGCTGGCTCCTTTGTGGCAGCACCTACGCTGCTGTAGGAAACAACGCCCGCGCCAGCAACTCTGCGAGCAAAGTGGCACGCGCACTCTCCGTCGCTTCCCGCGGCGTCTCCTTCCCTCTTCGCGACGCCGACTGACTTTCCGTGCCGGTGCCGGATGCCCGCATCGGAGCCCCAAACGACGGTTCTTTCTCCGCGGCCGCCAGACGGAGGTCCGCATCCGGCAGCTCCGACCGGTGGTTCTGCCTTCGCGCCATGGCTTCGAGCTCCTCGGCCCTGTGTGCGGACGGGAGGAGCGGCGGCCTCGACCCTGCGCGCAGACGGGAGGAGCGGAGGCACTGCGCGCGGACTGGAGGAGCGTTGGCACGGAGGAGCGGCGGCGCTGCGCTTTGACGGGAGGAGCGGCGGTGCGGGACACGGAAGCGGCGGCGACCCAGGGAGACGAGAGCGTCGTGAGGAGAGAAGTCGACGTGAGCGAGTGGGTCGCTAGTGGGCTACAAGCGAGCAAGTGGCAGGACGGTTGGGCCAGATTAGAATGGGCTGGACGAAAAAAATGACCTGAAAATTTGCCTTTTTATTATTATGGATAGATTAGGTATTTGATATAGATATAGACTACCATTAAAATAAAATCGGAAGAGAAAAATTACAATTTTTCCTGTAGTCAAATCATGACAAAATTACATATTATTTGAACAAACAGAAAAGAAAACAAGGCATCTAAAATACTCTCTCCGTTCAGAAATGATAGGCGTGTTTGACAAAAAGAAAAGTCGTTGGTCCCGTTCGGTTTACCTTATAATCCGCACTATTTAACTTATTTTTTTAGCTGGAACAGTATTTTTCTCTCACAATAATTCAGTCAGAACAGTATTTTTCAGCCAATTCGGCCAAGTTTCAGCAATCCGAACGGGGCCATTGTGAGTTTTGTAAACTTGTATATATAGCCAATTGAAAAAAGGTCATCTCAGAGACAATTTGAGTTATTAATGTACGTTTTGTAAACTTATATATAATTTGACTACCAAATTGTTAGTTACAATTTGTAAATGTTGACTTTTATTTTATCTTATATTTAGTTATTCTAAATTCAGCAACCACTTCTGGAACTTGGAAGTACAGGAGAAGTGCAGAAATATAGGGCGAGAAGATCGCGGAGGAGGAAAGCGGTGACAGATTGACGCGGAAGATGGGGATTGGCGTGCGGCCGGCGCGGGCGTGAGCGTGATTGGTGGGCGCACAAAGCGGAACGCACGGATCGCAGGGGCAAAAGGCACGACCACTATCCGACGCTTGGCATTAATCCAGGGCTGAAGGCCGCGTGCAACTCAGGTGAGTTCGCCGCCGCCGCCGCCGCCCGTCTGTGTCAATACCGTAGGCGGACAAGATCGCTTGCCGTCTTGAAGCGCCCCTAGATCGACCAGCAGCTCATCCTGGCCTTCCTTCAACGATCAGGTACTAGTGCAAGACTTGCGCGATCCATCATCTCTCTTCTCCTTTTTCGTGTGTGCCAAATGCCAACCTAACGCTAACGGCGCAGAGCAGACGAATAGGAGCTGCAGTCTGTGAATCGATAGGATTGGTGAAGGCGCGCGAAGAAAGATGATCCACCGGCGGTTTGTGAATCTGGTGGTCCAAGACTACACCACGGGCGCGCGCTCGCTGCACCGGCTGGACGTCGCCAAGCATCTCTTCTACCCATCCACGGCCCGGCCGGAAGCAGCGAGCGCGAAGAACAAGGAGAAGGAAAGCAATAATGGAGGCAGTAATAAGCTGCGGAGGAGGATCGGGAGCCGCCTGCTGCGGCAGCTGCCTCCGCCAACCATGTACCTCCAGCGGTTCCGCGCCGCGTACCACGGGTCGCCGCCGCACGAAACGCGTTCGCGCTCCTGGGCGGCCCCCACGGCAGCGACGGCAGCAGGATCCTCCACGCCGGCGAGGGAGGCCAGGTCCTCCTCTACGACGCCGACGCGGGCTCCACCGCCACCCTGCCCGACCTTGCGTTCGCACAGCCCGAGGGCTCAGGCAACCCCTCTTCATCTCCATCGCCGACGCCGGTGCCGGGAAAGACAAGGAAAGCCTCTACGTGATCACCTATCGCCACGAGTGGAACTACAAGCGCCACAACTTCAAGGTCCTCGACCTGAGCCAACTCCCTCACAGGTGGGATCACTTACCGCCGCCGCCGTTCATCACGAGATTCACATCCACCTGCACCGCCGTCTAATCCTTCGCGGTGGTCGACGGCGGCCGCACCATCTGCGTGTCGATGGCAGCCAAGAAGAAGGGCACGTACTGCTTCGACACGAGGAGCTGCGAGTGGTGGCACGCCGGCAACTGGAAGTTGTTAGTTGATCTCCATCAATAGGCCTGGGACCTTGGATTTGTGCCCTAATTGGGGGCACTGTTGACACATGATTTTTATCTCCGTGCCGAGGACACACGTAGCAAGTCGGAAGGGTCCACTCGATGGAGCAGATCCGCCTAGCTTCAGCGCAAGGGTGGTCGATCCTCCGCAATCCCCCCGAGACGTGCCAGTCAATTTGACCCTACAATTGACAATGAGAGAAAGCTCATCAGTAATTAAGGACGGAACATGCCGGTGTTGCCAGACAGTCCCGAATGTGCGGCTTTGAGAGCCGATATGAGAGGAAATCGACTAAATAGTCGATCCCAGCATATTCACAAGAATGAATCGGTGAAAGCTCATGGGGTTGTATAAGAAGAATCGGTTATCATTCAGGATAAATGTTATTTAAGCAAATATTAATCAATTGCAATAAGATATAAATGGTGATCGGTTTGTACTGAGCCAATGATTACAAATAACCAAACTCCTTTTATATAAAGAAACAATTCAACACCTCTTAACCATCTAATAAAGATAAATCTAATGAACATGTTAGATCTCAGCTATGCCATGACCAGTGGGATATGAGACAGAATCATGCAGGCCGTAGAAACAACAATAGACTCGACGACCCTAACTCATTACTAATATCTATGGGGCATGAGGCAGAATCATGCATGCCATAATACAATAACAAGATCATGGGGCTAACATATTTTTCAACTTATCTCTACTTCAATGATCTCGTGATGTGGACTGTTCGTGAAAGCATTCGATATCGGCTAAACAGCTGATTCAGACATAGCGCACAGTTAAGGTCATGTCTTCCCAAGAACGGGTCTACCAACTAACGATCCCCATTCCACGGTGCCAACAGTGGGGTGAGAGGCAGAATCCCACAGGCCATGATGACGGGCCATGGAACGGTTTTCATTAACTAATAGATATACTCAAGATCGGACATGCCTTAACCGCACGCTATGCACGATTAAGATTGACGCAAAACAGCCGATAAAAACATAACTCATCGCTTAAGATATAGATTAGATCAGTTTTAGATTAGCAAACGATGAGTTAAACAAGATATAAGGCCGATCTAGATCAATCTCAATCGGGCAGAGTGATATTGCTGTAATTAGATAAACCATGAAAGCAATAAGCAATATCGGTAACTTAATAAATCTAGCAAAGACTGCCATACTAAGGTAGAGCCGATAACTTAACCTTGATCTAATTCAAGCAGTGGGGTGTGAGGCAGAATCACACAGGCCATACTTGAATTAGACAAGAATCGATAACTAGCCTATACCACAGTCGCAGTGGGGGTCGACCGGATCGATGCAGCCATACGAACAGAGGTATAAGCCATGACGGTACTTACAGACAAGTAGTGGAGGTTGACCGGATCGATGCAGCCATACTTGCTGAAGAACTCGTCGAGATCTACTCTACTCCTACTCCTAAGGGGTGGCCGGAGCCAAAAAAAGTAATTGACTTTGTATTTGATTGATTGTTCTTACAAATAGCCGGGGTTTGGTATTTATACCCGGAGCCTAAAAACGAACCTTACTCGAGTACGACTCAATACAATCTTTGGCATAATGAAAGCATTCCTAATTTAAGATAACTTGGACTCTAATCTTTTCCTTTTTGTAGAGTCCAGCATGTCTTGTCCCAGCGCCGATTGTAGCCTCTGTCGTTATCTGCTGGCGCTATCTGAAGAAAGCCGATTCTAGTGCTGCGTCCGAATGAACCAGCTCCGATCTCTACGTGGCCGATTCCTTGATGACATGATTTTTGGGAGCTTCAAAATCCCTGCAACTCTCTTTCCAAATTCTGGTGTAAACACATGCCCCCCAATTTTGGAATAAAAGTAATTTTATTCCAAAATTATCATGTCTTCATCTTCGATGGGTCTGCAGTCACGGGTAGAGAATCTTGATCTGGGGTCTACTGTTTGTCGCCGCCTATGTCAGCTCATGAGCCCATGCTTCACAACTTTTACAAGAGCATCATTGCTTCACGGGCACTTGGATTCATCCTTCCAGACCGGCTATAAAATGTCTACTCGCCCCCAGTGAGAGCAGCTTAATGATTCAGCTATGTTTCTCTTCTACCTACCCTCTCAAACTCTGACTTTGCCGGACCCTGCATGGTCCATCTTTTTGCTATGAAGATCTTGAGTGGCTAGAAGAATTCTTGTGTATAGGGTGATTGTGTCGCTCATTCTAGCGCCTTGTCGAGCAAGAGGATCAGCTATTGCGGCTAGAAGAAGTCTTGTGATACCACCCGAGTCTTCTCTCCATGCTCGCAAAGCTGTTCTAGTGTTTGCAAGGGCTAAAATGTGTGGACACCTTGCCCTTGTTTGCTTCATCAAATGCATGCTGGGAGAGCCACATGCTTCTTTCCCGCAGTTCCCGATCACCGAGAAACTAGTTAGGCGTCTGCCAAGCGAGCGGTCTTTCCCCTTCTCCTAGTATAATTCCATTATCCGGCTGATGTGACCTGGTTCATGACGACCTTCGGCCTTGTGGGGGCCTGAACTCCCTTCAATCCAAAGAAGTCTTGGTGGGTTGATTTCTAGTTAATGTAAATTCTTTGTATCCATCCCACGACGTTTCGTAATCTAGGGAAGCAATAAGTCCAAATCTGTTATCTCTTCGTTATCTCTCCCCTGAAATTCCGGAGCGCCGATCCGTTTCCATATCTGTTTTTAGTTTTCATACCCTCGGTGAAATCCATCTTCTCGCCTCCCCGGGCTATATATGTGGGCCATGGCTAGGGTTCAGAAAACTACCCGTCTCATCTCAAACCCTCTACATCTTTAGCATAGTCCCTGCTTTTCTATATGTTTGAGATCATGGAGAATAGCAAGAGGCCTGTTGAGGAAGTTCTTAACGGGTCTGT